CTCGTAAACTACTCATCCGATCTAAGTGAAACCTTTTTAGGGTCACTAGGTATGTTATGTAGATGTGCGGAACGAAGGTCATTTTGCGCGCACGTGCGTGCAGGTGCGCGCACGTGTAACACGTGAAATGACCAATATGATAGATTTAGCCGTAACTTTTTAAATATTGGATGAAATGCTTTGAAACTCATAATACAAGGATATAATAGTAGTATAGACATGATGACATGGTCAAAATAGCAAGATCTCACGCGCATGCAGGTGCCCTTCGCTGCGATTGGCTGAAACTTAAAGTCTAAATATCTATTTTGTTTTCTGACAAAATCCTTTGAAATTTTGAACATAGTCTTACATTATGGAGATCTACAGCATGATATATAAGAATAATCATGAACGCACGCACATGCACGTGTGCTGCAATCTGATTGGCTAAAACTTTAAATGCCTACAACTTTCTTGGTTCTCAATAATACAGGGTGAAATTTCAAATATGAATAGATATAATGATTGCCTATATTATACTACTATCAAAAGTAAATACATGGACGTGCATGCACATGCGACCGCACACAATGTATTAAAAGACAGTATACTTGAGTGTTTGATGTTCATGCAGAATTAAGAACTTCTAAATGTCAAGACATGTAACATACTGAAGCATGCAGATCTTTTTACCCTTGACCTTGAAACTTAGGTCAAAGTCACTGGTAACCTGAATAAAATGTTGATATTAACTATTTACCAAAATCACCTTGACCTATGAACTTGAAATCGACCTTAACCTTTGTCCTTGACCCAAGGGTAAAAAGAAACATGAAGTACATGTACATGTATCTAGAAACACCTTTCAGAGTTTATTTCGGTTGACAGGTTAGAAGTTAAAGAGGTGGTGGTTTTTAATGACCTTGACCTTTCATCCAAATGTCACAATCAATCTTAAGTTCTTGGAATAAGATACAAGATTCAACTCCAACGTTAAATAGGTTAAGAATAATAATAACCCCCTCCCCCCCCCCCCCCACATACACACACACACACACACAAACAAATCAAATTAATGGCAACGTAGAGAATCACTGTTAAACTCAAATAACACCTCGGACCCACATAAAATTTCAGGAAAACTGCAGAAAAGAGCTCGAGGAAAGTGTATTAAAATATGTCATTTGAGTTTCCAAAGTATATAGAAATTATTAATTTATACAGAAAAAATTACAAATCCTGTCGTGTTTAAAATTAAAGTGCAGATGACCAAAGTTGGCATATAAGCCTTTTATAGCCTATTTATTCAGATGTCGTAAATAGCATTTGATTCTACTGATTTGAAATAATATTTTAATACCAAGCATCCTTTGTTTAATTCACCTTTGAAATTTATTTGAATTTTTTTTAGAATTACGCAATCCCCAGAAAAAGCGATTTTCGGTATATTAAAAATCAGTATACATGTACGCTCCTTCGTAAAATAATCAGATATTTGCATTCATGAAAAAAATATTAATAAGAAGGTGTTAAACAATATAGGTCACATTAGCTGACACAAATGTCTTTTTAAACATCTCATGTAAAACCCAGAGAGTAGCCCCCTATGCATTGGAAAAAATGAATAGTTCCGGTCAAAAAACCTTTATATATTTATTTACAAAGTATATAAAATTTACCAGGCACAGGTATCAGAGTTGTCAAAATGGCCTGAGAGGAAATATTAAAAAAAATTCTGAACAGAAAGAAAATCCCTTTTCCATGTATGGAACTACTATTGAATAAGTTCATTTTGATTGCTTAGGTATTGGCGTGATACCCTGAGTTGACTTTAACCCTGCCTTGTAGTCGGAATAAAACCAACTTTGAGCCCGAGGTTAAAATAAGTAGAGAAATAAAATGTGAATCGATATATTAAAAATATGACATATGCTTGAAAAATGGTAAATTTATATATGTATTTTTTTCTTTGATTCGTGGGATAGAAAGATATGTTAATCGCTTAATCAAAATGCCATAATCATCTTGCATATGCATGTACATGTACGTGTGCGCGCATGCAAAACGTTAAACAATATATCGTTGATAGTTGATATCATTGTAACTTTTATATTCTTAAATGAAATCTTGGGATACTTAGCATATTTATAAAAGGTCTTAGAGGAATAAGGCACGATAAGGGACATGGGGAGCGTTTGGGGAACATCTGTAACGGTCTCCGTTACAATTAGCACTAGTTGATCTTGGTATCATTTGAAAGAAATTGATAAGTAAAGTACAGTGGCTGGAACGTTATTGTTGACAAACCAATCGTGTAGAATCGTTCGTGTATCGTGAGTGATCGTTCGTGTAACGTGCAAGATCGTTCGTGTATCAGACTCAATCGTGTGCGTTTTTAATCGTGCGAGATCGTGCGTTTAGAATCGTGTAAATTTCGTTTTGTAAGTTTTTATCGGAATGTTATTTGTAAAATAAACATTTCCCTTGTTTGTTTTTCTTAATTTATTAATTAAAATCCAAATAAAATGAAAAAGCGCAATTTACATTTTAGAATGCAGAACGAACTATTTATCGCCCTTAAACAAGCAATATAGTAAGTCGTACAATATTAAGTTCTCGTCAAATAGCGCGATCAATATTGTGATAAACCGTACTTAGATCTTTAACGCATTTTTGAAAAATCTTATTTTAATTAATATTTACTTATTGTGGTCAAGATAATCTTGAAATCAATTCATTGAAAATAAATATATTTTTTTTACAAAGAAATAAACATTTCTCAATCCTTACATAATTAGTTAGTCGACAATTATACATGGACACGGCATGATTTTCGGGAGTTTTGATTATCTGTGTTTATCTCTTGAGCCTATTTGTAATTAATTAATTTTAAATTTCCGCAAATAAAAAAGTTGAATAATTGGCAAGTTTATCAGACATTGAATCATTGGAAACATAAGGATAAAATTTGTAATTATGATTTAAGTCATTCCATGCTGCCATTTTTGTTCATCGTATCCCCGTTTCTGCATATCATCATATCCAATTCAATCAAATTATACGACCCACATACATGTACATCGCCTAATAGAACGAACAAAATCCGTTTTTTTAATCGGAGAATTACCTTAGAAATAATTATTTTTAATCTAAAATATTAAGTCGTGCAAATATTTAGTTACAGAAATATTATTTTCCGTTTTTTTCTTCAAAGTCTATGAAATAATATTGATAATTCTTTGAAATCTTAAATAAGTATCAAGCCGTATTTCGTTTTGAAAATATTGATTCCTAAATATTTTGAACTATTTTGAGTGAAGAATCGTGCGTTTGCGTTAACAATCGTGTAAGATCGTGTAACGTGTAGAATCGTGAACGTGAAAGATCGTTCGTGTAACAGGTTTAATTGTGCGTTAATCGTGCGGAATCGTTCGTGTAACGTGATCGTTCGTGTAAGTTGTCAACAATAACGTTCCAGCCACTGTATGGATACCAAATACGAAGTCTCTATATCTCTTGTTGTTTAAAAGTTATGCAAAAGTACGAAAAAACCATTTTTAGCATAAAGGTCACATTCAAGGTCACAAGGTCATTAACCTTGGTGTCATTTGAAAGAAATTTATTAGTGGAGTATGCATACTAAATATGCAAACCAAATACGAAGTCTCTATCTTTCATGGTTCAAAAGTTATGGCGAAGGTTAAAGTTTGCAGATAAAAAGCTATTTTTAGCATATAGGTCACAGTCAAGGTCACAAGGCCATTGACCTTGGTGTCATTTGAAAGAGCTTAATTAGTGGAGTATGTATACCAAATATGAAGTTTCAATCTTTCATGGTTCAAAAGTTATACCGAATGTTAAAGTTTGCATTCAAACAGACAGACAGACAGGATTAAAACAATATAAGCCCCGGATCTATCGATCCGGGCGCATAAAAAGTGTACAGTCAGTATTTAGTGAAACATGATATAGAAAATCTGCATTGCATTGTGTTATTTATTTAAATAATATGTATATCAGAAATAAATTTCATTATGCAATGTGTCTTTATTTTTCTCTACATTGGACTGATATAGATGATCTCGTATCTTCTAAAAGAATCCCAGAAACAATCATTTCCAATATTGTTTGTTAAGTTATATTTGTTGGACTAATAGACATACAATAATTGCTGTATCTGGAAATGAAACGGAGGCGTGACTAGTGCCCGCAGGGCACGAGGTCACGACCCCGTTTCATTTCCAGATACAGCAATTATTGTATGTCTATTGGTCCTGCAAATGTTTTGTGGCACGCCTATTTTCACGAGCTTCAGTGACATTTTTTGCGCTACAATTTAGACCGGGATCGAATCAAGCTGAAAGATGGACGTAGATTTTTTGGATAATGACTTCAAAGTTGAAGAAATTGACGACATGACACTGTCTCAAGTTTGCGACGTAGATTTCTTGGATAATGACTTCAAAGTTGAGGAAATAGACGACCTGACATTATCTCAAGTTTGCGACGAAATGGAAGCTTTTGACGGATTACAGAATATGAGCCTTACATAGACGCTTGCAGAGTACGACACAGGTTTGGAGCATGGTGAATTTAAGCTTGAATATGACTTTTTGAGAGAAAATGAAAATAGTTCGAATTTGCTGACCACATCAGGTGATCGTTTTGCGGCCCCAGTGACGGAGAGTGAACTGAAATCTCTAATTGAAAGCCAGGAAAACATTAACACTAAATAAAACACTAGATGGGCGGTCTATGTTTTTGAGAAATGGCGAACCGGCAGATCCGAAACTATTCCAGAACTTCAATTCCAGGGCAGCAAGGAAATGAATTAAAGGTTACAACGTTTTATAGTAGAAGCTAGACGACAGGATGGTAAGGACTACCCCCCTAAGAGCCTGTACTTGATTTCATGTGGACTACTTCGTTTTTTGCGAGACAACGGTGTGTACGATAAAAACTTTTTAGACGAAAAAAACCCAACTTTCATTGAATTTTGGAAAGTTCTAGATGCAAAAATGAAGTCGCTGATTGAAAAAGGCATAGGGTGTACTACGAAGCAGGCTGATCCTATTTTACCAGAAGACGAGGCCAAGTTGTGGGATGTTGGAGTTTTTGGAAAGAAAAACGCAGAACAACTTCAGAAAACGATTTTCTTTTACGCATGTAAAATCTTTGGTCTGCGTGGATGTGACGAACATCATAACCTAGCATGTGAACAGTTTACTATTGGATCAGATAAGCTGGGAAATTTTATTGAGTTTAAGGGTCGAAAAACCAAAACGTACAAAGGTGGGCTCGGACAGCTAAATGTGTGCAACAAGACCATTAAACATCACTGCCAGTCTGGTAAGAGAATCTCTCTCTCTCTCTGTGAGGATGTACAATTACTCGTTCACTTAGCTAACAAATTCAAAATTTTCTTGTAGGGGAGAGATGCATTGCTGACTATTTTGATCTATATCTGGATTCCCTTGGACGTGGAGGAGTATTCTATCGAAGACCTCTGCCCGAAACACCTGAGGTGCCAATTCGATACGGAAATCAGGTCATGGGAATTAATGAGCTGAAAAACTTCATGCGAATCATTTGCACGGAAGGTGGTTTACAGGGTAATTATTCGAATCATAGCGGCAAACGTACTTGTGCGACCCAGCTATAGATGTCTGGTGTTGAGGAGCAGCAAATAATGGATCGGACTGGTCATCGTTCGCAAGCAGGTGTCCGTAAATACAAAAGATCCAGTGTGCAAATGAAAGCAAACGTGTCAAAGATCTTGGATTCGCCCAAGGAGTGTACCGAGAATTCCACTCCGATGAATTCTCTAGATGGATGCGCTCCGGATGCCCCGCTATTCCACTGACTGCAGCAAGCGTCCAGGGTGAGGAGGAACCTCAGAGCAAGAGATTCAAACCGAACAGATTCCCGTTTGGAGAATTTAAAAATTGTAACATTACATTCCAGTTTTAAAGTGAGGATTTCACAAAACTCAATTACTAGTCAGATAGATTGTTAAATTACCCAAACCCAATTTTTTAGAATTGAGGTTTTTTGACTTTTTTTGTTTTCAACTTGCTTGTAAGAATTGTACAAGGGCATCAAATTTAATTGAAAGGTGTTTTTTTGGAGAAAAAAAGCTTTACAATGGTTGATTAAAGGATAAATTTTGTGAGGATTTGATTTCTTTTCTTACCTTACAATAATTCTAAAATTATTGTACGGTACAATTACCACGCCCCCTTTGATACAGTGCAATAACTTGCAGTTTCTAAAGTTATTGTACAATGGTAGGCCACGCCTACCTGGGAATAGAACAGGTATTGGAAATTACAGTACACTTATCATCAAAGAAAATACACCGCAGAAGTGCCACAACGTCCCAAGGAGCCATAGCGCATTTGATAGACGCTTTCGCCTACTCTAGTAGTGATTTTTTAAATACATTGTTTAACCAACATTTTTTCATACAATGTTAGTTTATACATGCCTTGAAGCAAATCACACAAAAATAATATTTAAATATTAATAGTTCCCTCATATGATAGATATAAAAATCGTTCAGTTTACATGGAGAATATAGTAGATACTGAGGCATCACCCTAAACTACATCCAAAGACCACCCTTAACCAGAAAAACAACTTCTGAATAATTTTATTTGGATATGACTGCACTTCATTACATTTAGATTATTTGGTTTGAGGTGGTTTTCATATTGAAAATGTTGAAAATATGTATTTATATTTTCTTTTCAAAAGTACTTTAAGATTAAACAATCTGTCTTAAATTTAGCCAGCCGATTACAACGACTTCGTGGCGTAGTGGTATGATTGCTGGATTGTAGTCATAATGATCTTGAGTTCGAGCTCGAGTCTCATAGTGCGCGTGTCTACGCTTTTATTTTTTTTCTCTGTGCATTTTTCCTATGTTTTAGTTTTTTTTTTCATTGTATAACTCATGTATAAATAATGTAAGAGATATATTATACAACATTAAACTTCGAAAGTATCTTGGGAAAAACAGTCCTAAACTATTTATGACCCAAAGTCATAGCTGCTAGCTTGTTTTATTTTTTAATTTTCTAAAAAATCTTGTTTAGAATAAGAATATTGTACAAGTAAAATTATTGTCATGTAACAAACTTGCAACTATTAAACTATAACACTGGTCCACAAATGATTACATACATGAAGTTTGATCTTGAATTGAAAAAGTACATGCATCTATAAATAGAAACAGGTAATTTCCTTTTAAATACTAGAGTCGACCGTGTAAGGCAGCTATGGCTCTTTGTAAAAGGTGATGAAAAGTTAAAATAACAATAAATTGTTATTCCTCATACGTACAGGAATTACAAAGAGATCCAATATATCCATTTGCACATCCTTTGACACAAATCCCGGTCACGTGGTTACAGGTCTCCGAGTTTGCGCAATGACTGCTACATTTTTGTACACAGTTTTTTCCATATGTCAATGGAGAACATTCTGTAATATACATTATTTGTTTTCCTCAGATGCTTATAACAGTGTTAAGCCTAAAGGTCCATAATTTTTTAACGCTGCGTATTCATTTCCTTTCAATTTTAAACAAAATATATTGTTTTAATATCTTTTTTTTTTTTACTGATTCCATTACTTTTTCTTTTAATTTATGAATTTTTAGCAAGACAACGTACAGTAATGTGCCTAACTTTTAAACTAGAGCGTTCCAAGGAACGTATGTGTCTCCTACTTTGTAGCTTCATTAAAGATTCATTAAAGGTTCATTAAAGGTTGTTTAAGTTATAGCCCCTGAAGACGTTTAATAATTATCGATCATCTCTACTTATTAAAATTTTGTGAGAAATCGCTGGGTTTTTTTCTTATTCAAAAAGTAAACAAAACAAGAAGGAGTCTGCAAATTATGAATACACATTGGGCAGAACAGACATGTTACTAAGAATGTTTTTTTACGCATGAGTGATCAGAGAAGTCAAAGGAAATATTGGGTCTGCTTTCTAGAGCAGTGACTCTCTAATCTGTCCCTAGCAGTCTCAGAGCAGTCCCTTAGCGGGCTAGAATCAGTCCCTTTAGGCTTAGCTACATCGGACACAAATTTTCATTGACGACATTCATTTAATTTTTTTTTCAAATGTATAGCTGACAAATTTAGAGTTCTACGTCAAAAAACCTACGCATCTTATGACATCGATGTGGTATGCGTTATCAAGTGTTTAGTTTGCTGAGGTTGCAATTAAATAAAAAAATTATATTTCACCAGAAGATGTCTTCTTTCAAAAAATGACTTTAAAAATCGTATATAAACACGTTTATCAGTAAGGATAATTAAACTCACATCATAATTCAGTAAAGGGAAAGAATCGAAAACGAAAAATATATTGTCCAAAGAGGAAGAAATATAAAGGATACCAAAAAAAAATAAACAAACAAAACAAACCTTCTGAGCACCTGTTGTGCCTCCAACCTGGCAAACATCCATATTTACAGGTGCCATTTTCATGTTCACATGACTGATTTACACAATTTGAACTGCATTCCTTGGAGCAATTACTTCCGTATCGACCAAATCCACACACTTTGTAAAAGTGCACATAAATATAGATATTTATATCAAAAACAAAAGTAGAAATATGAATCAGAATTTAAATCAAATTTAAACATTTGAATTTTGAATATGACTAAACGTTTACGACTAACCTTGCTGAAAATATTTTGAAAGCTCCAGAGGATTTTTTTTTTCTAAAATTGATTTGTCAGTAACATCATATTTTTTGTAAATTTTCAAAAATACAAATTTAAATTTTAATTAAAGTCTTCGATAAGTTTTTGCCTTGCACTTTACCTCTCAACACATATTTTATTGAAAAATGGACTTTTTTAATGATTATTTAATCGGAATTCGTCAATGTAAGATATATTTAAAATTTATTTTATGTCATAAAAATGGAATCTACAAATGAACACCTTTGTTCTTCCCTACCTTTATCACATTTGTGTCCCTGATATCCAGCTTTACATTCTGAATTGCAAAACCCTGTAACATGATCACACCCACCATCTTTGCAGTATGTACTACACTTCTTCATGCAGTTTTGGCCATAAGTTCCATATGAACATTCTTAAAAAATGAAGTAGGTATTTTCCCTAGAAGTGATCATGACAGGGCAATCTTGGTAGTCATTTCTTCAAATAACCAAGATACTCTGTTTCACATCGTTAAAGAGTAAGAAACCCAAACAGTGAAACTCGTTCAAAAAACATTAACCTTAGAGTCACAGCGTTGATTCAATTCATTGAGAATGATGTATTTAATTTGTTGTGATATCTTTTTGATGATTGCGCGCAGGAAAATTATACCGTTTAAGTATTACACACAGATCTCATCGTTATGTGTCATTATGAAAGCTATTATTGATTTTTAAAGAAATTCCTCGAATTCTGATGTACTGAATACACATTTGGGAAAAACATCACATAACCTGTGTTCTATATTCTGTATTTCCATCTATAAAATGTATAACAAAGACTTGCAAAAATGAGGTGCTATACATGTGATAAGTGGTTCCTAAATTAGTAGATTCTAGACAATATCGATGCGTTTCTTTACAAATTAAAAGCTAACCTTTATCACAACGCACGCCGGTATATCCTGGAATGCAGCCTCTTTCACATTCTCCAGAAAACCGATTGCAAAATAAATCCAATAAACAGTTTTCACTGCAATTGAAGACACAGTTCACACCATATTTTCCACTACCACACGCTGTTATATAAAAAAATGTAGTCTAATGGATATCATTGATATTTGTTTACATGTAATTAATAAATATGCTTACAGAAGATGTAACGAACTGATGGCTAAAAGACATTTGCAGAGATGAATTTAATTTGAAATATTTGCAGTTAATGAGGACAATAAAAATAGTGGTCCTATAAAAGTACATGTACACTAGGTATGACAAGCACGACATCTAACAATAATATTATTTCTAAGCCAGTAATATTTTGGGATTTCCATTGTTATTTTTTTAAATTTGTTAATTAATTAAATATTTGCTTTTTTGAAAGATATCATATAAGGCCATTCCAAGCTTTTTTTATGTTTAGCGTCCGCGTGCGCCTTGGTTTTTGACACCCCATATAAGAAAAAACACACAACATCAGGAGTCCTAAAATTGATAAATTTAGTTGAAATTTTTTAAATTTTGTCAATTTCTCTAAATAATAGTTATTTTGGGTGTATTTTAAGCATTCAATCCCTTGTTTTTGCTTAAGAATAGATATTTCTTCTATAAAAGCAGTTAAGTTTGATCAAATCATTTGAAGGGCGTCATTTGTATCACTATTAAGCCTGTGTTTTATGTTTTGTCTTGTGTGCTTTTTGTGAATAGGTATGTAGGTTGAAAGATATGTGGACGATAAACAGAGAAAAAAATTGGAATGGCCTTAAAGGAATGACTACCTCCCAACCCCTCAACCCCCCCCCCCCCCCCAAAAAAAAAGAAACATTAATAGTTTACAATAGTATGAAAAAAGTTCTATTTATTTAAAAATGTAATTTTTTTCTTTACTTTTACATGTTATTAGTAAATTAAATCAATATTTTACGCTTTATTTCTCAAATAAATGTCAACATCAAAATGACTTTCTATGATTTTTAGTACGGAAATTAATGTTTCAGGTACTGCAGAAAACTTTTTACATCACCCGCTATATCATATGGAATCTGTATTAAGAAAGTTGAACAATTTTTTCTAAATACAACTTTATACCTCGGTCACATTTCAATCCCTCCCATCCAGCCATACAACCATTTTCGCAGTATCCATTAACAGTGTTGCACGTTGAATTGTTGGCACAATGCCAGGAACAAGTTTCATTGCAACCAATTCCATAAAAGCCAATCGAGCACGCTATGATAAATGAAAAAAAGGTGAAGGTAATGAATCGTGATTGATCTGAAAAATCTA